ATGACCTTAGTGTCATTTAGTGGTGTAAGACCATTTTAGGATTTATAAGCAAAAATTTAGCATATAAAATCAATTTGTGATTTTAATCAAAGAATTAAAAGAATTAAAGGAAACGATTAACTGATCTATATTTTTTAAAGAAACATTGAGTTGAACGCTGTAATCTTAATACCACATTTCAGCATAACCAAATCCTGTTTATTGGAGTCTTAAATGGAACCAACAGTGTAGCCTATTGGCTTAGCAAAGAACAACAGGTGGGCAAAACACCAGTGGACACAAACAGCCATTGTTTGTTTTAATGATAAAACACAGAAACACTGCAATAAACAAACATTGTACATCTTTTAGTTTGTTCTAATAAAATACTGCTTTGATATCGTTTTGTTGTTGTTTACCATACCTCATTAGATGTGACATGCTTCATATAGGCATCAAATATGAAGGAATTTATAAATCATCAGTAACCCTTAAGTTTGTGATCATACACTTAAAAAATAAAACTTTTTTTATTTTATTTGGTTCAAAATAATCACAACTGAATCCACCTTTCTGATGGGATCAGGATAATCCTGTTTTGTTTGGATCAAATAGATCCCAATCTGAGTTCAAAGTTTTGAATAACCTGAAGGGCGGGTTTGATCTAACTCAAAAGTAAAATTGGATTACATGGTCTGATTTTAATTCAAAATCCCCCTGTTATTGCGACGCAGTGGAGCAGTAGGGCTCCTGAATGGGTGTTATCAGTTGTTATCAGCTGATAGAGAAGGACACCTACTTCTGCACCTACTTGTAGGCTGAGAAGGCTGTTATTATCCATCCACATGGTTAATCAGCTATAGATTTCATACAACTGAGGCCGGAAGTTAACAAGAATTATTTATATTATTTGTTAAATTTCCTGGGTAGCACGGTGGTGCAGTGTGTAGCACAATCGCCTCACAGCAAGAAGGTCGCTGGTTTGAGCCTCGGCTGGGCCAGTTGCCGTTTTTGTGTGGAGTTTGCATGTTCTCCTTGCATTCGCGTGGGTTTCCTCTGGGTGCTCCGGATTCCCCCACAGTCCAAAGACATGCGGTACAGGTGAATTGGGTAGGCTAAATTGTCAGTAGTGAATAAATGTGTATGGATGTTTCCCAGAGATGGGTTGCAGCTGGAAGGGCATCCACTGCGTAAAACATATGCTGGATAAGTTGGTGGTTTATTCCTCTTTGGTGACCCCATATTAATAAAGGGACTAAGCCAAAAAGAAATTGAATGAATGAATCCCCCTGTTACTTTTGTAAAACCCATTTCCAAGATCTGATCCAATCCATGATCTAAAATCCCACTGGATTTCTTTTGGAAAAACTGGGCCCTGATGTCAAACAAGTCCCAAACTGGTTTTAAATATTGTATTGTTTGGTTTAGATTGATGCTCTAATTTCTAATTGGATTGAATGTTCTAATCAGTCTTTGTGATGACTGCTTACAAACACAAATAACCTTTGTGAAATAACCATCCAATCAAACATATTTATTTATTTAATTCACTTATTTGCATTGCATTTCATGGAATATTTCACACAATGACTTTGAATGTAAGTCTTTCTGCTCCAATGCCTTCTTAAATTGTGTAATGGCAAATTAAAACTTTAAGACCTGCAAAAACCCTATTTTGGTAATCAGTATCTGGACGTTTTTTTTTTTTACACTATACTGTTTCCAACATTTAAACTGTATGTTGCTTTCACACATGCAATTCACACATTGCATTCACACATTTTAATTATTTAACTCCCGTCCTGCACAAATCTCTCTCAAGACTGCGGGAAAAATAGGAATAGGAAAAAAGATAGCATTATACTATTCCTTTTTAGATAGATTTTTTTGTTATCATGGTTAAATTTGAAGTAATATACATTTAAATTACATTAGTGTGTTTATTGGCAGAGTAAAATTTCTCTGAAACTAAATTTTGTATTTAAAAGTACAACATGATGACAAAAATGTTGAAATAATGAAATAAATGTGAGAATTTTATATCTATGCAAAAAAAAATTAGCAAAAAGAAATTGGCATAATAACTGACAAAAGTAAATCTCTGTGTTTATACCTTTTCCATTATCCTCACAAATTACATGCATAAACTGTGGTTATGTCATATATTGATTAAAGGCATTCTCTGTCTCGTATATCTACTCAGAAGACAACAGCATGCGCGGAATTATGGGCAACTGCCATTCTTTCCATGATGAGGTAAAACCCAATAAATCTCCTCATGTGAACACAGTTTCATTAGAGAACAACATGTTCTGCAGGCTTGGCTATGTTCTTCTCTCTCACATAGAGTGCTGGTGTGACTAGAGGAGAGCGGTGGAGGGAACAGAGCTTCATGGTGGTTGGTGTGTTTTGAAGTGGATCTGAATGATGTAAATGGGATCATTTTGAAAGGTTTAATGTGTGAGCATGTATGAGAGCTCCATCTGGTGTGTGTAGGAGAAGTGGAGGAAAGATCTGGTTTGAGAGAGTTGAGATCAGCCCTGTGAGAGCTTTGGCCTGGTTGTCATTCATCATTGCCAACATGAGCTCACAGCAATTACATCTAACTCAATCCAGCAGGCCTGTTTTGCCCTCCTTTTTTCCGTTGTTCTGCACATATATCTCGTTCCCCACTCCTCTTGTCTATTGTTGCTTCCTGCATGACTGGCAATGCTGTTAGCATGATAGTAATTTATATAAACACTATTTAGAATTCAGGACGTTTCCAACAGAATGTCAATGAATAAACCTCTTCAATCACTAGATTTTATGATCCCATGTACTATGAGCTGTCATCTTTCTCTATAGACAGAATGAAAGGTCACCTACCTTGAATTGTGAAGTAACACTAGGCTACTGGTAAATGCATTACTTCAGGAACTCGACAGTGCCAAACTTCTCACGTTTTTGGCAGAGTTAAATATTACAGTCAGAACAACTCATCTGATGTAGAATTTGTACCAGACATAGAAGTTGCAGACGGAAACCGAGTTTGCAGAAGCCAGAGAAAAACTGCTTTGAGGGAGAAGCTGCAGTTTAAAGGTCTGTTCTGTGTCTAAAACACATGCATTGACCAAATGTGAAAAAATCTTGAAGCAAAAACTAAAGGGTTTTGGTTGCACGTGTTGTGTTCTTCAAAGTGGAAAAATAGGAAAATCAAAGTGAAAATTGACTGTTTGTTGCTAAACCTTGGGAAATTGCTAACAGGTACTTGTAACTATGTTCTAAAATCTAGATTAATGTGGATCAGATAAAGCAGGCTGAACCGATTCCAGCAGACAAACCCTAAATAAGTCGTTTGCAAACGTTGATAGAACAAAAATGAAACCTGTCTTACACACCCTTTACCTCGTTTCCGTTTTTAAACAGCAGGGGTCACCAAACAATCAAAAATACGCGTGTTATAACATCCGCACAGTACAAAACCCAAATGTTCCTCGAGGAAAGCGAGTACCGCAGTAGTACAACTAAATTACTTAACCGTCCGATATAATCGTATTTTGCACCCAAATACGCTATGCATTTGTATTTACAACTTACTGCTTTGTATTGGCCACCAAAAGTAGATTGATTTACAACGTCAGAAAAATTCTGAGTTTAAATGAGATCCCAGAGCAGCAGGTGTCAGCTGCAGACAGTGAATTTGCTGCTGATGTCACGACTGAAGTTTGGGATACACGATGAGACGCGAATGGAAAGAGATCGAGCACCCGACGGAGAAATCAAATCAGCAATGAGGAAAGAAAGAAGGGAAACGAAAGCCAATCAAGAACTCTGAACAGGCCCAGGTCCAGATGCACATAAATGAGGGTGCTAGCTACTGAACTAGTACTCTAATAGCCTAATGTGAAGGCAATAACTCACCATTACAAGAATAGTAGCCTATAGACATAGACTTAGATTTACTAATTGTTATTAATTTAATAAGTAAATGCAAAAGTATTTACAACATATTTTGAAAACAAAATCTTCAATGTAGCCTATCAAATGTGTGTCCATTAATCTGTTTTTATTTCTTCAAGCACAAATATTGATTTCCCTGCCAACTTATTGTCTTCATTTTAGTCATTGCAATTTATACCTCTTAATACAAAACTAAATGCCAAGTTCTCGTTCACTGCAGTTGAGTTCGTCTCACAACTGTCTACACTGCACAATGAATCCCTTGGTTTTAATGAGATGTTTTGTGACTATGCAGAATGTCTGAATATTATGAGTGCAATCTGACACCTCTTACTGAACACTGAATTCTGAATCAACAGATACAGAGTGTCTGTCATTGGCTACACTGCGGAACACAAAAACATGTAAATGAAAACCTTTGAGGCAGCGCAAATGAATTATGGCTAACTTTATTTATTTATGTATTTATTTTTAAATTTTTACAGTAGGAAAAGTTTGTGTAGTTTTGTAACTTCAGGTTTTAGAGGCCCAGAGAGCAGGAGTCTAATCTAAAAACAAATCTAAACAAACCAATGATGACCTGCAACAATCTGAAATAGCCTAATTTGAGTAAAAAGACCAAACTTAAGTCTGTGCTCCAAAGCATTTGACAATATCACTTTAAGATGAAATTTAAATTTTCAGGTCTTTGCCCAAAAGTTGAATTGGTAAAGAAAAACTTAAACGTAGTAGGCCTCCACGAGAACCTGATCAGGTGGATTGGCACGTCATATCATTTGCGCGCACGTGTACAGGGCCTGTAAGCTGCAAGCAGCACTTACTAAGATTGATGTCCGGCCCTTAAGTCTGCTAAATAACAGTATATTGTCTTACAAAGCATAATTATGAACATGATATTGGCTTTTAACTAGTTTATTTATTGAGCGGTTTTCCACTAGGTCTATGCGCATCCAATATGTCATCATTCCTTACTGATCTCTCAAAGAGTGAAGGGTGTAAACATTTGGAGGAGGCACCAGACTTTCGTCAAAGGTAACCCCTCTAAACCTCTCCACCTCTCTCTACCCCTCTAACCCACCCTCTCTGTTTTTCAGCCTCCCATTCACTCGGACACCCCGCTCAGGTTGTGGCAGGCAGCGGTGTCCATCAGGCAGAGATGCCGGCTGAGGGATTCGTTTTTGCGGCTGTGATTTGCGCTGTCATGGCGCAAAACTGCAGCGGGGAGCTTATGGCTCACGTGCAGGACCCGAACCCCGTGCCAGAATCCTCCTTGCTCAAGCCCAAAGTCATGATCGCGATTCTTGCTCGAAACTCTGCGCACAGCCTGCCCTACTACCTGGACTGCATCGACCGCCTGGACTACCCGAAGGACCGGATTGCGATATGGTGAATAACTCCTGTCTGAACTTTTGTTTTCATGGGGGGTTGCTTTTAAAGACGAAAGTTTGTGTGATCAGATGGTTTGCTTTTGCAGCTAGTGTGGTGGCTGAAAACCGAGAAGGTCCTGTGCATAGTGGAGTTATTGTGAAGCGTGCGCAGGTAAACTTCGGTTAATGAAAACCTTCAGGCAGATAGAGGAACAGAGACGCCGCTGTCTGCGTGAAACAGACCTGTTAAAGAGCTTTTACTACACTCTGTCCACGCGTGTGTGCAGGGATTTAATTACATGTTAAATGGAGATGAAAGACATTTGCTGGCTAAGCAACATGTCCTGTCGGGTCTTATAATTAGAGCGCCAACTGTTTAATGACGTTTTCCTGTCAGCTAATGTTCGCGGCGACAGCACAACATTAATTGAGGTTTGTCTCGCGTAACCGCTCGTCCTGTCAACTATTTGACCATTATTTAGATGTAGGTTATTTGTAATTTATCAGTGTAATATTAGTAAAGTGAAAGTTCAAGGCTTTGAACTGTCCGCAACAAATTTCTAGATGAACCACTGTGTTGCTGGTGACTTTCACTCAGGAGAGAATTCGGTTTGCGCTTTTAAGTTGTAAACATTTGTTGTTACTGGTGAAACGCATATATACGAGTATGTAGAAATACTTACAATGTTGTTAACTAGTTAGACTATAGGAATAGATTATATTAGTCACTGCTATAATCTAGTTAGGACGGTGTGCTAAATTGTGGATCCAGTTGAACAGTATATGCATTCATAATATTTCAATCCATAATAATTACAAGTGGGAGGAGAAGAAGGTTTAAACTCTGGCATATTATCTCTCCATTTCCATATGCCACAGGTGAGCATCCACTGTAACTGTTCTAACTTCCCTTCCCTTCAACCTTTCTCGTGGTAAACAGGTGATTTAGTTTTTCTGTTCAGATCCATTTTATAGAGGCTCACATGCACACAAAGCTTTCAATTTCAGCTCCCTCCCTTCCCTAATGTCGCTCTGCTCCAACATCTAAGCAAAACCAATTGGAAAGCATTCAGTTCCACGTGTTTAGGTTTACAGTACACTCTATTTCATGTTTTACCGCTTCTTTTTTTCTCTTTATTTGTTCTGGCAGGTTTTAGCTGGAAAAGCACAGTTCTGATTTTTGAATCCATGTACTATCATTTGTACTATAAGCTATCGTTTACTATCGCTGCTGCTTTAAAATCCTCAATGACAAATTGTTCATCCAGTTGTTGAACTTAACGTTTCAATGTGTATCTGAGCTGTAATGATTATCGACAAAAAATTAGCTTTGGATTGTTTAAAACATTAATGTGCACATACAATTCGATGGAAATCAAATTTTCCATGTCATGCCAACTTTAAACTAGCTATCTGTGGTCATTTGTGTCTGTCAGGAAGACCTTCAGGAGTTTACTGAACAAACGGAGCAGTAAAATGACAGGCTGAAAGTCCCACTGTTTTGCGAAAGAATGTGGAGAATTAGCGAGAGGAAAACATGAAGCGAGAAGAATGGGGCAGGGGAGGAGCACTGTTGAGAATTACACAGGGGCACTACGAGTAGCCCAGCAAACTACATTCCATCCCGATTGACCACGTGCACGGGTCACCCACTGTGACATCTCTCTATTCCACTTTCCCCCAACTTATTTGTTCTAGTGATTTCTCAGATAGAATTAGAGAAATGAACATTGGTATTTGTGTTTGCAACAATCAGTCTGTTGTTGAAGACCCCCAAAACCAAAATATGACCTTTTATAATGCATAATAGGGGCTCTTAAAGGAATAAAGGTGAATTGCATTCAATATAAATTTGAGTATTGTTGCAGAATAAAAATATACCTGCACTATTACATATCTTGTTATTATTAGATTAGGATTTCATATTTTGTTAGCTCACTTAATGCAAAATTCCAATATTAAAAAGCATGTTGCGCCATCTTCAATTACTGGAATTTGGATGGGATGCCAAATTGCTGGATAGTGCAACTGACCAATCAGAAGCAAGTATTCAACAGTGGTGTGTAATAAGCTGCTAAAATGTTAAAGAGTCAGAGAACGATTTCCTCTGACAATGTCTTGATTAATAGCTCAGACAGTTTTAAGTAATACAGAGGAAAGGCTTAAAGAGTGTTCATGTTCCCAAAGGCACAGTCCTGTAATTAATAAAATGGTGTTTAAGATAATAGCACTAACACAGCGTTTGACACATGACCGATCAAGTTACAGTCAGATTTATTGAACACAGACTCGTTTAAGAGCCGACTGCTCACTTTTGTGTTTACAAGACTTATTACCGGAATGATATGATTTTTCTTGACAGCCATACAAGCGAACTCAGGTGTTCATTCCTGCAGTTATGATGTTGTTGTTGAGGAATGCTGGGCAATAAATAAAGCATGGTGAATGTAACAAAGTTCCTGAGGAAAGAATGGAGATATATTGGGTATTGATCTGAAGGAGAGATCTGGAAATGATTATATGTCATTACATCTGTGAGTGTTTTTGTGTTTTATTAGGTTTGCATGAGTGCTGCTGTAAACAAAACACTGGCACAGCGTCTTTTTGGTGGGGTCTAAAGCCTAACTAGCATATTTTTTATTCAGTATTGTTCTTTTCAATGTGTCCAGAACCAATGTGTCCACTCTTTAAAAAACAGTTCCAATACATTTATTTGTCCACTTAAAAGGATAGTTCACCCAAAAATGAAAATCTGTCATTATTTACTGATCTTCCACATATTCTAAAGATATTTGAGAAAAGAAGTGCAGTGGCACACCTTTCTTGCGTATCCTTATGTGCAGTACCACCTTTTGCTGCTAGTCCAACAACCAGTATTTGAAAGGAAACAAGTAAGACGGTCTAAGACCTAAACTTTTTTTTTTTTAAAGTTGTACTGAAAAAATGCAAAACGAAAATACAAAGCTACAAAAGACTCTATAGCTGGGTCAAAAACTGTGTTGCTTCCAACGTCCATAGCTGCAATCATCTGACCAAAATGAACAAAGTAAATACATAATGTATTACTGCTGAAAGCCCAAAAAAAAAAAAGTATAGATTAATTATCAAATAGTGCATTGTAAATAATACAATCATAATAAATTCTTATTACATTTCAATATAAATTTTCACCATGTTTTTACCTTTTTAAGGTTCAGGACACCCTGGAGTACTTGTTTGAACACTAATTTCAAGAGTTCACACTTAGCTGAGGATTTATAAAAGCTTGTTTGGCATGCTGTCCTGGGAGAGAGCCCCGAGCTCAAGGGATCCACGAGCCCGTGGCTTCCTCCCGTTGGCAGAGCGAGAGGGGAGCCTGAGCTTGGTGGATCTCAGAACTCCCCGACTGCGATAGCTAAGGGAACACAGGGGTTAGACAAATGCTTGATTGTTATACGTGTTGAATGTCTTTGGATGGTGGGAGGAAACCGGAGAACCCAGGAAAAACCCACGCGGACACGGGAAGAACATACAAACTCCTCACAGAAACACCCACCGGCCCTAAGGGACCAGGGCCGGCAGTGTTCTTGCTGTGGGGCTCACAGTGCTAACCACTGGGCCGCCGTGCCACCCAATCAGAGGTAAAGGGGGAGGAGGGGGGTTTCTTCCAAACGAAGATAAAATGAGATGAAAACTGTGGTTATTTATAGTAGCTTAGGGTTCATGTGATTGGAAGATAGTGATTAGCAAATACGGGACTGGCCGTGATAAATCATAAGCACGGGATCCTCTCGAAATTAGTTTATGAATAAACTTCACTTGAACAGATTTGTGCGTGAGCATAAGTTTCGACCACAATAGCACCTGTTAGCTTTAATTGTTGATAAAACTGGATGATTTAGAGTTTTTCAGCTAATTTCATCTTCTGGGTTTAAAATAATTTTTTGGGGCAGAATCAAAATCGTTGCTGCAGTACAAATCTTGTAGTGGAGTGATGATGCGTGGGTTTCTCATTATTATGCATAGTGGAGTTTTCTTATCCTATGAGAAGACCCTGCTTCCTAATTATTTATAAGAGCATGTGCTTTCCGAAGGCAAAGCAGATCTGCTAAGCTGTGGGACCCAATAACTGGGTGAGATCGCATCCGCGCACATCACGGGTCATATGTTTTTATTTCCATGATTCCCACGATTCTGTCATGGCTGATACAGCAAAGCTGTTGGTTTGCAGCAAGCATTTTTGTAGAGAGACTGAGCTTTAAGAGAATTGGAGAACTTGGCGGACTTTGTCTTTTATCAGTTGAGTTTGTTACCATTCAGACACATCGCCTATATCCGTGCTGCTGTGTTTGCACATGTTTAAAATCCCTTAGATTACCGGCAGGGCTAATGGTTGGAATAGATATGGCAAGAAACCTGCTGAGCTGCTATTCAATGTGTCTGCATTCAGACTTGGGGATTGAGGAGGAGAGAAGTCCTCCTCATTTATAGTGTTTATATAAACATGATTATCTTTATAATGATATGTTGATGGCTACTGGCAGCCAATGTTTTTGAAAAAATCTCACAGGGTTGGAAAAAAAGTTTTTTGGGTGAGAACTGTCTCTTTAAACTCCAGAAGACCTCCAACAGTCAAGAGTTCAAGACAAAAGGAACAATAGGGCACAAAAGTCCAGACGGCAGGACCATTGCTGACTTTAGTTATGACTGTTTAGTCGAGCTGGAATTGTAGTTTATTGGAGTGCAGTGTTTTGAGTGTACTCCAATAAACTACTGTTTTTTTGAGTGCAAGGACCAAAGTATCTGTATGATACTGTTATGTAAAAGTTTTGTGGTTATAATAAGCAAGCATTCAAAGACATTATGTTTTGTTGTTTGAGTTTTGACTGGTCATTCATTCAATTATTCATTCATTCACTCACTCTTCCTTTTTAAAATAATCTCCTATTAAGGAAGTATTAATTTGCTCAAAAGTATTATAGGATAAAATAACTGTCGTCTGTTTAAGTGTGTTTAAAAATGTAATTTATTCCTGCAATG